TGTTCAGGTGTATGTGTGTACATGTGGATGCCAGAAGTAGCCCTTGATGTTGTTCCTCAGAAGCTAACCAACTTGCTTTTCTGAGGTAAAGTCTTTCCTTTTTCCATGGAGTTTGCCAATTGGGTTAAACTGGCTAGCCAGCAAGCCCCAGGAATCCATCTGTCTTCGCCTCCCTGGTGCTGGGAGTACAGGAGTGTACCATGCCTGAGATTTTTGTATGTTTTTGAAAATTAGATCCTCATTTTTGAACAGGAAGCACTGAATGGTTTCACCTAACAGTAGAAAGACTGTCAGAGTGCCCAACAGCTGCCCAAAGCCCAGAGGCAGGGGACCCCCTTACCTGTATGTATGTATGTATGTATGTATGTAGCATATGTATGTGCATGTGTTCATGTTCACGTGTGTGTGAGCACACATGCATGTTTGTTGAATTGAGAATTTTTGTTGATTCTTCACCACCTTATTCACTGAAGCGGTGTGCTGGACAGTTTTATGTCAACATGACACAGCTAAAGTCACCTGAGAGAAGGGAACCTCAATTAAAATACCTCTAAGATCAGGCTGTAGGTAAGCCTGTATGGTACTTTATTAATTAGTGGTTGATCGGGGAGGGTTCAGCCCATTGTGGGTGGGGCCATCCTTGGTCTGGTGGTCCTGGGTTCTATAATAAAGCAGGCTGAGCAAGCCATTAAGAGCAAGGCAGTAAACAGCACTCCTCCGTGGCCTCTGCACTGGCTCCTGCCTCCAAGTTGCTGTCCTGTTCAAGTTCCTATCATGACTTCCTCCAATGATGAACAATGTGAAAATGCAAGCCAAATAAATGATATTTTCCCCAACTTGCTTTTAGGTCATGGTGTTTCATTGCAGCAATAGTAACCCTAACAAAGACAGGCAGGGTCTTAGAAAACCCAGGGCACAACAGCACAGGCTTGACTGGCTAGCCAGCTGCCTCAAGGGACTCCTCTTTGCCCACAGGCAGCCTGCCATGGCCACCTGGCGTGGTCACATGGGTACTGGAGATCTGAACTCTGGGCCTCCAGATTATGCAGCCATCTCCCAAGTAGTCACTTGTAGAGGGATTTTAATCCGGCAATATGGATCCTCTGGCTGGAACACAGACACATGCTTAGTACACACTTATATCCCAAACAATGAAGATGAGGATAGTTTGTAGAAGGAAGCATTCATGTTTGAAAGTGATGAATCAGAGAAAGAATTGACCGAATAGGATATGCTCAACTGTCACCACACACACACACACACACACACACACACACAGAGTGAGAGAGAGACAGAGAGAGACAGAGACAGAGAGAAGGGAGGCAATTTAAGAGAGAAACTGTGCAGAGAGGGAGGAGAGAGGAGGCAGTTTTACTGGGATAGTTGAACAGAGACAGGCTGCAGAGAGAGAACAAGTTAGACACAGGAGAAGACAGAATGAGCCATAGAATGAGAAGGAGCCGGAAGATTAGAACATACCACTAGAGTTAGTTTGAGGCCAAGCAGAGCAATTCAGTCAGAAGCTGAAAGAAGCTAGTTTGGTGGAGTCAGCAGAGAGGAGTTTTTGAGCCAGAACAGCTGAGTTGACCAGCCAGCCAGAGGCCAGAAAGAGCTAGAAAGGGTGAGCTTCTTCAGCACTAAGTCTCAGAGACTGAAAACATTCTAGGCCTAGATAGGATTGTACAGAGGCTAGATGGTTCCAGGACTAGGCCTAGGTTAGCAGACAGAGGCAGTGAGCTTCGGAGACCATTACTCCAGAGGAATAAAAGTTACTTTTACAGTCATTTCTGCAGTGTTAGTCATGGGACTGTGTTGCGGCTCCATTGACTGCAGAGTACTGTTAGGATACTCACTGAAGCAGGAGACTGGGCCACACTGCACACCTACACACAGGAGGGAGGGGTTAAAGGATCTCGGCAGGTTAGCTGGAGATTCTAATAGACCCCAGCCACATCCTGTGCTCTGTCAGTTAACCAACCATTCATGCTGTCCAAACACAGGCTGGTTTTCCTCAGGATGCTCGTGGTCAGAAACTATATCTACTTGTAGAACAGAAATCCTTGGTGCTACATGGGACATGGTCACATTAAGCCCTTCCTCTTACTGCACGAGTTTCTTAGCTCTGGGATGGTCTGGGGTCCGCCTCAGCTCCCTGTGTTTTTCTTTCTGTTTCCTGAGTCTGTTACCTTACTCAATACACTTTGCAGATCCATCCTATTTCCTGTATATTTTGTTATTTTAATTTTTTACAGCTGAATGAAATTTCACCATGTGCATGTACAGTGTACTTCTATTATCTGTTCCTCTGTTGATGGATATTCAAGCTGCCTCCACTTCCTAGCCACTGTGAAGAACCCAACGCTAACCACAGATGTGCAGTTACTCCCAGGAGGTGTAGAAATGAGTCATGTAATTGTTAATTTTTTTGAGAAAGCTCCTCGCTGGTGTCCATAATGGCCGACCCAGTTCTCACACCCACAGTTGACTGAGGAGTACTTCTTCCCACACCTCCTCACTAAGCATTTGTTGTCGTTTGTTTTCTTGATCCTAACCATCCTGACTAGGGTGCAATGATGTTTGAGGGTGGAGGAGCGTGTGTGCCACAGTGTGCATTCAAAGGTCAGAGGACAGTTCACAGGGGCTGGTTCTCCTAGAGGATCAAACTCTAGTCTTCAGGCTCTGTGGCCTTAACCACTGAGCTATCCAACCCACAGGTCCAGCGATGGAATATTAAAAGTTTCCATTTATATTCCCATAGTCGATAAGGATATTTAATACTTTTTTAATAACACACATTGGCCATTTGTGTTTCTTTTAGGAACTGTCATTAGAACACACATATCCCACACACACACCTTTTTTTTTTTTTTTCCGTCAGTAGCTTGGGTTGTTTTTATGTCTTGTTTTTTTCAGTTTTGTTTTTGTGGTTTTAGTATTTAATTTTTACAGCTCTTTATAAATTCCAGACATCAAGCCCCTATCTGAGGTTTAACATCAGGGACTTCCTCTCATAATATAGACTATTTTGTTGATAGTTCTACTTGATGAGCAGAAACTTTTTAATTTTTTTTTAATTTTATTTTTCGTGTGTCTGTGTGTATATGTATATTTAAGTGAAGACAGAGGCTGGAGTTACAGGCAGTTTGAGCTCTCTTATGTGTGCTAGGAACTCAACTCAGACCCTCTGAAAGACTGTGAAGGGCTCTCAACCACCAAGACATCCCTCCAGCCTCGTAAGCAGAAAAGCCTCTGTTTCAATAGCCCTGTTTCTTACTTCTATGGTATCTTGAAGTATGTCCCATATTTTCCTCTAGCAGTTTCTGATTCTGGGTTTAAGTTAAGGTCTTCGGCCCACTTTTCTAGAGTGGATTAACTAAGTAGAAAGACTTGCCCCTATGTGGTGGCTCCATTCCACTGAGGTGCCAGACTGAATAAAGAGTCTGCAAGCTTTGCATCAGCATCCCTCTTGCTCAGCTTCCTGACTGGATGTAAGATGACCAGACACTTTCTGCTTCTGCTGCCATGGCCTCCCCACTGTGAGCTATTACTGCCACACCCTCTCTGCCATGACAGGCTCCCGAACTGTGAGCTAGAATAAATCCTTCTTTCTTAAGTGATTTTCATAAGGTAGTGTTGCAGAAACGAGACAATGGTACTGCTGCCTGGCTCTGAATCTCCTGATTGACAGGAACCCTGCGACACCCAGCTCCTAGGTACATGGCCACCATCAGGAATGGTGGGACAGGCCTATAATTTCAGGACCAGAGGCTGAGGCAGAAGGATCACAGTCAGCCTGGGCTATATAAATAGATCTTGGTTTTATTTGTTTTTTTTTTTTTAAGGATGGAGTGGGGGTTAGGTAGATGGGTGTGGTGTGGGCAAGATGCCCTTATGACATATCTTTGAATCTTGAAGTACAGTAAAACCTAGTGCAAATACTTTCTAATTACACTAGTTTTTAGTGAAAATGACTGAAAATCTTCCACACTGAAGACCCTTGCTGCAAACCCCCATAGAGCAGAGGGACCTTGCATCCTAGGCTCAGAGCTGGGCTCCAAACCCAAGTCCCCCCAAGAGAAAGGACAAGGGGAAGGAAGGAGAAGAAAGCTATAGCTTTCTAAGCAGGTGACTAAAAATAATGTTCTACAGGTGTGTCCAACCTTCTGCCATCAGAGCAAGAAACAAGGTTCACACCTCAGAACCGTGAATTGAATTACCAAACAAGTCCGCACAAGACATCTTACACTACTTTAAATAAGCTTTATACTTTTGTGTCAGGCCAGGTTTACAGCTATCCTGGGGGTTTAGTAGGGAACAGGCTGCAGGCTGGACATTCCACCCTACACAGTGTTACTCTGATGAGGCTGCCTCTATTTGTTACCCAAATAAGACTGGGGTTGGAGCCCACAGCAAGCAATCTAGTCACTTGTAGCAAGGCAGGGGACTTCATGCTAAACCCAAATCCTGAAGATGCCTAGTTGGCCTTCTCTGGAGGCCAGGGTGTTTCTGAAGTCCTGGGTTGAACTCCTTCATCTGTTCATGAGGCAAACAGAAGTAGCTGTGTCCAGAGGGGCCACAGGGAGAGAGTGGGGATGGGAATTCACTCAGCTGGCTCACCTTCAGGTATATCCTGGCCCTTCCCCAGCGAGACTCAGGCTCCCCATGAGGTCTGAGGCCCACCACTCCTTGCAGGTCCTTTCCATTTCTTAGTACTTGGGGCTAGCATTCAGTGAGTGCTGTCCACCCATCTGCCCATTCCAAAAAAAGTGCTGATGTGTGTTCAATAAGGTGACCTAGGACTGTACCCAGAGTGTCCACCACTTGACCTCTAACCCACCCACCGCCAGTGGAAACCCCAGGGACCTCACACCATGAGTCTAGGGGAGGTGCTATCCGTGCAGAATTCCTCAGCCCCAGTACCTCAGGGACACCAGCAATAAAAAAGCCTCAGTTGGCCTAGATCTCACTCACACAATAGAAGCAAAGAAAGACACACATTGTTCTGGGTGGTTTTGTCAGGTTTTTCTTTTTTGTTTGTTTCGCTGCATTTTGAACACTAGGGCTTATTTTCAAACAGCACACGGTTGGTCTGCAGAGCGGGACCAGGCTGGGCCAGTGTGCAGGCCCTGCCCAGGGCAGCTGCCAGAAGAGGACCCAAGCCCTGCTCGGTGGCGCGGCCAAGCGTCAGGCAAGTGTGGCGGTGGCTCTGCACCCCCGGCCCGCCCTGAACATGCGGGCATCGGGAACTCAACTAGGGAGGGGACACAGCAGCTTCGGGAACACTGGAGAAGTCCACTGAACTGGGTCGGACGGCTCTTTGGAAAACCACCTCATCTTTGGGGGGAACACCTCTTGGCTTAGGTTTCTGCTCTCCAATTTCCCGACACTTTTCAAGAGTTTCAAAACAAAACAAAAACAAAACAGAAGAGAGATGAAGAAAAAAAAGAAAAGCACACATCTTTTGGGAAAAGGTTCTTCACACACCGGAAGGATGCAGAGGCTCCTCCGTCACTGCACCCGCTCTGTGAAATTCTCCGGGAAGACACCGCGACATTTCTCCAGTTCCTTGTGCTGATTCCAGTCGCTCTCCTTCACACCCATGAGCCAGCCTTCATCCTGGGGCCAACAGAGCATGAATAACACAGGCGCACCTCACAACGCCCTCAAGGATACTAGGACCCAAGCAGACCTGGGAGGAGCAGACCTGGGAGGAGCCAGTCGGCCTGCTATTCGGAATCCTCTGTGCCTGGGCATTGCACTGTGTCGTCAAGTGAACTGTGTCGTCAAGCCTGAACTGTGTCGTCAGTCTTGGCCCATAACCATCTGCTGCTTGAGATGCATGCATCCCTCTAAGAATCCAGACCCTCTAGATACAGCAAACGGCCGGCGCCTGCCACACGCGGCTGCCGCCAGTCCTTGCCACTCCTCTACAGCTCTGAAGAGAGCCAAGTCTCTTTCACCTGTTCTGGGATGGGGTCCACAATGAATCCGAGCTATAGGCAGTGACAAATGATAGCTGTCACACTAACTGTCCCAGACAGTCCTTGGGACTTAAAATACAGCCACAAATACAAGCTATAGGGTCTCATAGTCTAGTTAGATGGCAGATGATCCTGGACCCACTCCCTTGTTCCAACACACCCTCTCCTCTCCTTGTCCCCGTGTCTACCCCCTCACTCCCCAACTCCCTCCACCCCACCCCGCTGCTGAAGCTTCCTTCAGAGCCCAGGGTCTTCTGACTCCTGTGTGTCTCTCTGGACCTGGGTTTCCCAAGTTCTAACAACTTCCAAGAGGAACCCAACTGTCACACCAAGTCTTCAGACTTCTAGAAACATCTAAAAAGTTCCTTAAGTACTAGCAGCTAAGAACATCTAACCAGACCTGTTAGTATAGGCTTGCGTTCCTAGCTATTCTGGAGGATGATCAGAAGTTCAAGGCCAGCCTGGACTAGAGTGAGTGAGTCCAAGGTTACCTCCAGACAATTTACTGAGATCCTGACCCAAAATTAAAAATGTAAAGGGAGGGCTGGAAATACAGCATACTGGTAGAGCATGCATGTAGCCCTTGATTCAATACAATACCCAGCACTGAGAACAAAACAAACAAAAACCTGTGGCTTGCTGCCAAGTCTAAAAACCTCAGTTCAATCCCTGGATCCGATGTGATAGAAGGATTGAAGCCTCCTGTAAGTTGTTCTCTTACAGCAGGTGCAGCCCGTGTCATATGCACGTGCACACAAACACACACACAAATAATGTGATAAAAATTGTAAAGCTTCTGACAGATGTGTTCAGCATTTAGACACTGTGACAGCTGCTGCGGGCACAAAGTTCATGCTTGAGAACTGTTAACCAAGTTGCAAACAAAAGCAAACAAACAAATCCATCCTTCTAGGGACTGGGATGTGGTTGAGTTGGCAGGAGGCCAGCCTGACATGCACCAGGTTCAATCCCCAGCACCCCATGAACCAGGCATGGGAGTGCATGTCAGTGACCCCAGAACTCTGGAGGCAAAGGCAGGAAGATCAGGATTCCAAGACCATTCTCAGCCATATGGTAAGTTCTAGGCTAGCCCTAGAAACATGAGACCTTGTCTCAAAACAAACAGAATCTCACAATGTTCTAAATAAGTTTGCTGTTTTATGTTGGGTTCGCATTTGTAGCTATCCCAGAACACATGAGGACCATGGGTTACAGGGCAGACACGCCCGTCAGAAGGTCCTGAATCCATTCTATTCCGGCCTCCGATTCCATCTTACTCTTCCCGTTGACACTAACCCCCCAGGGTTTTCTGTGCAAGCCCTCACTGCTGGAGTTACAGTGACTGTCCCAAAGCCGGACTATGCCTGGCACCTCCCTGGATCTGTGCCATTTTATTCTAACATTTTCTGTGCTCTTAACACATCTCTGCATCTTTATCAGTCTCTTCTATAGGTCCCCTTTCAACCCCTCCAGCACTCATACACAACCACCCTGATGGCTGGCGGCCAGGGCTTATGCTTCTCAAAATCTCACCCAGCTAGGAAAGACCCACCCGAAGTGGCCAGTAGATTCCTAGGACTTCAGAAGCAGCAGTAGATGGGGCTAGAGAATTCTCGGTTAGCAATGTCCTTGCCACTTAGCATGAGGAACTGAGTTCCAACCCCAAAACCCATGTAAAAAGTCAGATGTAGGGGAATGTATTGGCACCCAGCACTGAAGAAGTAGAGACAGGCTGACCCTATGGCTCCTAAAGATGGAAAACTAAGGTTGGCTTCTAGCCTACACACACACACACACACACACACACACACACACACTGTAGCACCCATAGCTCAGCCAATACCTCCTTAGGGCAAGAGGCCAACCATACAGAGTAGAGCCAGCCCAGAAGGCCAGTGTGAGCCTAGCCTAGCGCTCTGTCACTGTAGGCAGGAACCCCGTAGAAGGAAGGCAGGCCTCAAGGCCAAGAGCATGGCAAAGATAAGAAAAAACTCAGATGCAAAAGTTGGCAGGGCAGCTGGAAGAAATAAAATGCACTACCACCGGCTAAAGTGAGAGGACAGGGACAGGGAAAGGAATATAAATAAGATTAAAGAAAAGAGATGCAGGTAATTGCCAACCTAGACATGCCCTGCTCCAGTGAGCCTCTGCTGCCCCCCTGCTGGCCATGCCCACCATTACATCATCAGCCTGGGGAATCTAGCGCCCTAGGCTCACCTGCTCTTCTGGGTTCTGGAAGGGGATCACCAGCACCACATCGCCAGCTTTGAGTTGCAGCTCGTCAGTGTCAGTGGCCGTGTAATCATGCTGGGCTTGCACCTGTAAAAGTTGGGAGAGCATGTCAGGGGGTTATGTCCCCCATCTAGCCTGCAAAAGACTGAGGTGTATGTGTGTTTGCACTGTACACCAGCTATAGCATAAAGTAGACTTAGAGTGGGCCACAGGTCTCCTGGGCTAAGTGTCTTATCCTTAAACAAGGGTGACCCCAAGGCACCTGAGACAAAGGCTAGCCTACGCTCACCTTGAACATGAATCCTGGGGGCAGGTCCAAGCGTCCAGTCCCAGCGCTGCCCTCCACGGCACCATTCACAGTTGCTGAGAAGGTCTCCACCACCACAGCCGGAAGAGAGCTCTAGGGATAGGGGATAAGTCAGCTGGATCAATGGCAGTGTGGGAAAAACCACAGGAAGGAAGGGGTTGTGTTCGTGTGTCTGGTGCCAAACTACCCTGCCCTGTGCTCTTCAGGGAACTGTGCCCTGCACCCACATGGGTGAGGAACACAGGGAAGCTGCAGACAGGCAGAAGACAGACAGCACTGGGCAGACAGACAACAGGGAAGAAAAAACAGGGCACGGTCCCTGCCGTCTTACGGAGGTCGCTTCACTGGCTGCTGTCTCCCCTGGCTCCTGGGCTCCACCCACCACCTCGGAGGCCTCTGCTGGCTGCAACATAAAATGCCAGCAAGGGATCAGATACAGAGCAGGATGTATCCACAACACACCACAGTAGGGCAGCGTGCAAGTGGGAGGTGGGGCCACAGGTATTGGCCCAGCTGGCCTAGAAATGTGTCTTACACAATCCTGGGGCACCCAGCAGGACAGGCAGGTGGAGAGAAAATACTAGCTGACACACAGTGGGAGGGTGTGTAGGGAACAGTCTGCACCTTAGTGAACGGTAAACCCTACCTTCAAGCCCTTTCCTCTAAATACCACACCTCGTCCTGCCCACTCTGCCAGCCCCTGACTGGCTAGCTAGAGGCTGCTGGATAGCCTGGACCTGCCAAGCATGCTTAGGATATCAGGCAGGATCTTCAGTCCTGGATGCTGCCTTCTCCACAGAATGCTACAGTAGACCATGACAAAGACTCCACTGTGGGCTAACCTCAACCAACACCCAGACTCTGCCACTTCTGAGCACTGAACACTAGTTATTCAACCTTCCTGCCCTCCAGTTTTTCAAATATAGCAAAGATAAAAGCATCTTCTCGATACAGTTATGATGAAGACAAGAAAATTCTGGGAAATGTTAGGTTGTCTAAAATGTCCCTCCACCACCACCACACCCCGCTCTGCAAGGGTTACTTTGAGGTAAGAGAGTAAAAGATGTGACTTGAGCCACGATCACCCACCTTAGGGATTCCCTAGCGACAACAACCTAGGGCCACCAGGCCTTGTCTGTACTGTGCATGTCCTCTGGCTCTTTGTCCATGCTACACCCCAGAGACGGGAAGCCGCCAGATGGGAACAGGAGGAGGGAGCACTTACTTGGGCAGGCCCTGGCTCGGCTGTCTGGCTGGGCCAGGACACAGCAAAGCTGCCCTCAGCAGAACTGGGCTCCCCGGAAGGCAGGATGCCAGCTTGACTCTCTGTGGGCTAGTGACAGGCCACCAAGATGGGGGAGGGGTGAAAAGACCAGGTGGGAAAGGCATATTGGACAAGGGCAGGAGACAAGAGAGGGTGGTCTTTAGTGACCAGCATTAACAAAGGGATGTGGCTCGGGGTATCAGGGTGGTCAGAATTTTGTGGGGTCAACTGCTTCCCATTCCTCTTGTCAGGCAGGTGTGACATCACCACACAGCATAGCATCTACCAAAATGATGTCACCACACAACATACTATCTACCAAAATAGCCAAAATGGCCCTGCCAGCCCACTCCAATCTTATTTCTCTGGTGATTGCAGAAAGACTCTCTCTCTCTCTCTCTCTCTCTCTCTCTCTCTCTCTCTCACTCTCTCTCTCTCACTCTCTCTGTGTGTGTGTGTGTGTGTGTGTGTGTGTGTGTGTGTGTGTATGCATGTGTATATGTCTGTGTATCTGTGTATGTGTCTGTGTGATGGGCATGATGCTTGCACACATATGTGACATGTTTGTGGAAGCTCTTCTGTCTTCCTCAGACACTGTCTACTTCACTCTTTAGGGGGCAGTGTCTCTCATCTGAACTCGGCACTCACCATTTCAGCTAGACTGACTGGCCAGCAAGATCCAGAGACACCCCCCCCCCAATTTCTGCCCCTCAAACTTGTGCCACCACACCTGGTATCTTTTAAAAGGATTTATTATTATTTTTATTTCCGTGTGTGTGTGTGTGTGTGTGTGTGTGTGTGTGTGTGTGTAAGTGTATATGTACCACATGTGTGCAGAGGCCTCCAGAGCCCAGAAGGCATCAGATCCCCTGGAACTGACATTATAGGCAATTGCACACCACCTGATACGAGTACTAGAACTAGAACCCAGTCCTCTGTAAGAACAGTAAGTGCTCTTAACCATTGAACTGTCTCTCCAGCCCAATGCCTGGGATTTTTATCAAACTCAGCTAGCACTTTACAGAACAGAGCTCTTTTATAGAAACTCCCCAGAGTCCTGGCTGCTGTTGGCTCTTGTGAGATTGTGTCCTGGAACCCTGATTCTGTTATCACCAACTGTGAGCACATTCCAAGTGTGAGTCTCTGAGTCTCTGAGCCTCCATGTCCAGAGATCCCAGGGGTGGGTCCCCCGAAAAACAGCTTTCTAATACTTCACTGTAGTCAGGACTCCTTGGCCAGATAGCCATTTTAGATGACCATCTGGCTACTTGACAAGGTAAATCAACAAGACCTGAAATCTAACCAATGTAAGACCCAGCCTTGAGCTACCAAGGAGCCCCATTACCTGGTCCTGATAACGGGGTGCAGTCTCCCTGCCCCTGTGCATATGAGCACAGATAAGCAAGTGTGCCCGTAGGGAGACTGGGGAGAGAAGAGACTGGGGCTTCACACTAAGAGAGGCAGCCCCCAGGGGTGCAGGCACTGGTGCAGAACAAATGTGTGGCTTACCTCCCAGAGGTCCCATGGGATTGACTGAGGCAGCAGTAACAGGAAAAGGACAGAGTCAATACACAGGTTAGAGACAGGGGAGCAAGCACACCAAGGGACCCCACTCACACCCCAATCCTGCAGGCTCCAAACTTGGCTCTAAGGGCTTCAGATCCCAGCTCAGGGAGGCCCACAGGGTACGTAATGGGGCGGGATGCTGGAATGACCAGAGGTTGTGAAATGTTCCCTGAGGAAGAACACCCAGCTAGCCCACATCTGTTCTACATCCAAAGGAAGTCCAGGGGCTAAGGACTGGGATAAGGGCTAGGTCACTGGGCAAAAGGCCTCGCCCCCAAAGACTTGGACCTATGTGGTTCACACAAGCACAAGGCTTAGTCCTGAGGCTGATGGGCCATGGGCATTGGTGGGCACAACCAACCTGACCAGAGGGTGTGGGTGCCTTCACAGGGCTTGCCACTGGTGGAAGGGGCTCGAAGTCCAGGTCTAGTAGACTGGCCTGCTCTGAGAAAGGCCCAGGGGCCTCAAACTTGGTGACAGCACAGCAGAGGAAGGAAGCAGTTAGTAACGGATTGGACCTATGCCTTGTGCACACAGAGGAAAACACACTCACACACACACAGTACCGTCTACAACTACACAAACTAGTACAGGTCACCACCTATGTGAGGATATCTGATCGAAACTACAACATCCAACTACGGGCCAGTTTTGTTGTTGTTGTTGTTTTGTTTTGTTTTTTTGTTTGTTTTTGTTTTGTTTTGTTTCAGCCAAGATCAGATCACTCCTGTCTCTTCTCTGCCCTTTGTCCCGACAAGCTCACCTGACCTTGCCCCTGTATATCAAGAGCAGAACAAGATGGTAGCCTGGTCTAGACATGCCCACCTAAGTCTCCCAGCCAAGTCGCTCTCTGGGACACCCCAACCTGTCATTCAGCTCTAAGGATGAGGAAAGACTTAGCAGCATACATGCCCCAAGGGCATCTTCAGTATGGGATCCCGGTGTCAGGGAGCCTAGGAGTACCTGCATTACAGCTACAGACAACACCCACAGCCACCTCCAGACTCCCTTTTAGGGAACCTGGCTACAGCCCCGCTGTATACATGAAGCTAGTATTCCAACAACAATATAGAGCTCCAGTGTACCCCAGGCTAGCCTTTGAGGGAGACCCCTGAACAAGTCAATCGTTGCTGACTAGGATAAGAGTTCAAGGCTGGGAGGATGTTGGATGACACCAGTGCATGAGGACAAGCTGATGTAAAGAAGTTGCTGTCTAGCTTTGCTTGTGGGCTTTCTCCTCAGAGCTATGGAAGACTTCATCCCAGTGGAAGCAGGAAGATGGTTCAGGGTGCCTCTTCTGACTTCTGCTTGCTTTCCATGGGAGTCCAACTCTGAGAGAGGGCATCCTGGGCCTGTACTCATCCCAAGGCTCCCATGAAGAAAGGCTGGAAAGTTTGGAATATGGCCTGTGGCTCTTCAGAGGAGCCTCTACAGTCCTGAGGACACTAAGGGCCAGATGGTGCACAATTGGGCCAGGTCAAGTGGACCCACTTCACAGAACAAGTGACCTCAGGTTGATCTCAGAAGCTTTCCTTCTTTCCTTCCAGCCAACCTTGTCCAGAAGCTGGGCTGGAGATGCCTCAGGGCTTTGAAATGCATCCTGTGCAAGTGATGCAGGCACCTCTGTCATTCAGCCTCCAATCTTACCCCTCCATGCTCCTTAGAAGTCACCCAGGCCCAGACAGCAATACACCCAAAGTGCTGTAAACAGCGGCCCCCAATCAGGGAGCTGCTCATCTCTCAAGCCTGCCTGTGGCAAGAGACTCTTTCCCACACTGCACACCACATCACACCAAGCAGCCTGTTGGCACCACAGACAACATGAGCCCACCCCTACTCATGCAATACCAACCCAACCTTCTCTTCCACCCCCTAACAGACCGGTAGCTTGAAGATAGACATAAGAACCAGCAAGCAAGGCATGCAATGACATGGGGGGAGGGGAACACATGGAGCCTGGTGGGCCACTGTATGGCTCCCTCTGACACATGGTCATGGAACAAGCTGTAGATCAGGTCCCTCACCAGATAAATGGGGTATGTCCCTTCACAGGGAGCGTTCGAAAATCAAACAAGACAGTGTAAGTAAGAAGCTATACCATCTCCCCTCAGCATCCACTAGCGCCCATGGTATCCCATCCCTCACCTTAAACACATGCTGGTCACCTGCCCAGGTACCTGCCAGCATCCACTAGTGCCCATGGTATCCCACCCCTCACCTTAAACACACATTGGTCACCTGCCCAGGTACCCACCAGCCACAGGCATCTCAGGAAGAAAGGGAAGGATCCCAGCAACAACCTAGTCTGAAGACTCTCCGCCCAGTCCCAGACTGACTGTCCCTCCCTGCCTCTGTAGCACCTTCCCGAACAGGGGTTTTGGTTCCGCTGTGCAGTCCTTCCACAGGAGCTGAAGGCCCACTCTCTCTAGGTGCCTGGTGACTCAGCCACTGATCTCCCTGCTAAGTTGTTTCTTCCACACTCCCACCCTCAGACTCTGCCCCCTTCTCTGGGAATCTGGGATGTACAAATGACCCTGGGGACGTTAGGGTCTAGAGAGACCTGGGAAGGGCTAAGTCCCCTAGTGTCTGGACTAGCCACCTCCACAACAGGGACACCTTGTATAGGGTAGGAGGCTAGGAGACTTAAGGTCATCCTGAAGCAGGGAACTGATCACCCTAGGCGGTCTGACTGTGTGTCAGCCTACTGTGTGTTGGCCTACTCCGATCTTAACAAGATGGTCTTCCACCACAGAAGGCACGTCCCTCTCTATCTCCATCCAAGGGTGGGCATTTCATGACACAAACAACCTCCTGACAGGTTATGTCTCTGCATTTAGGTCATTATAGTATCCACCAGGGCTCTGCCTGATTCCTAGCATTGCCAGCCACCTGTACCACTTAGTGAGCCCTCAGCCCTTCTGGCCTAATTCAGCTATCTCTAACCAAAGCAATGTCTCTGTGAGTCCTTCCCAGGCAAATGTCACCTGTACAAGGAAACATTCCATGGCTGTCCAACCACTCCATGTTCCCCATTATAACATCAATCACTGTGATTGATCAACACCACCAAGAAACAGGGAAGACCTGTCACAATCATGTCCCCTTATCTAGCCATGGTGCATGCTCCGATGGGTGGGGAATGGAAATAGTGGTGATGATGATGATGATGATAATGATGATGGAGGAAAAGAAGATGGATGGATCAAAAATGGAGGCTCCAGGCCATCTCTCCAGCCAAATTCTTGGCTCCTGAGAGAAGCTCAGAGTTTCAGGGTGGAGGATGAAAGGCCATGCATGCTCTGAGAGAAAGAGTGATGTTAGAGAAGAAGGCTGGGCCGCGGTGGACACGGCTGACCTGGGAGGGGGTGGTCACGCTGATCTCAGGGACAAATGCGTCATCAAAAAGGCTGAGAATCTGCTCCTGCTTCATCTCCTTGGATGGGGTGTGTTTGGGAGGCGGAGGGACAGGTGGGCCTTTCCGGAGCTGTGGGCCAGCAAGGGGGAAGCGTGGGAGGCATGGCAGAGTGCAGCACAGGGAGACAGAGACAAAGCCAAGGTTAAGTTAGTCACTCCTGGGCCACGGCCCCACCCAGGTCACTGGGAAGAACAAATGAGTCAATGCTCCCCTAAACAGACACCAAAATGACAGGACACCCCAAGGGAAGACTTCAAGACAGGAGGTCCAAAACCACTGTGCAAAAAGATAAAGAAGTGAATAGAAGCGAAGAAGGTAAACAGAGGCAGATCAAGACCTACCTGGTTCTGACCTCCATAGCCCACTGGGGGAGTCTTCCTTGCCTACCTAGGAAGGAACTTTGAGTGACAGGCTGACTCCCCTAATCTCCGCCCTCCCACAGACTTTCCTTCCACAGAGCCCCAGCTCGGGCTCAGGCTGTCCCTAAAGAAGTCAGCCTGAACTAGGTCCCTGCGATGACCACACAGAAGCAGATCAGGTGAAGGACTGCCTTAGTCTTGGTTTCTTTCCTCTTGCCCTGGGGCAGTTAAAAAGAGTCAGTGAACAGAAGTGTGCCCAGCACTGCCCACTGGCCTGGGATCCAACCTCAACAATGGGAGCGCATTGCTCAGATGTGGGCTCTACTGCCTCTCTCCGCATCCCTGGCCTAGGTGTCCGAGAACAGAAGCTAGAGGACTCACTCTGTTTAACACCACTCAGCTGCCTGCTCCTGGGACCTCTGCTGCAACCCAGAGGGCCTAGTTGAACAGGACAGGTTGGAGAGGACTGAACCCATGCCCCTGAGGTGTCTCCCACCTCTCCTCACTGAGACCATACTCTTTCTGTTACTTTGATAATCCTGTGAGACCACCTAATAGGGTTCCTCCCTCAGTCCCCGCCAGAGAAAGGGTCAGAGCTCCAGAGTCTGGAGAGAGACTGGATACTCAGAGGCTGAACACTCAGAGCAACTCTCTAGAGAGAAAAAGGAGTCAAGGAAACAGGACAGAGAAACGAGGAGACACGGAAGGGGAAGTGCTGCACTTCTATGGATGAGAACGTTTTCAAATACCACTGTGAAGTACACTGGGGCCACCAGGTTCAGTGTAGCCCGTGCAGACTGAGGTCAGTACTGGTTCTTCATGGAGCAGAGGCTCAGGCTCAAAACCCACTCAGGCCCAGGCAGTGGATTATGGAGAAAGAGGAGAGGATAACAGCAAAGAAAGAGTAAGAGAAGAAAACCAGGACATAGAGATAACAGTCATGCCTACCTGAGATGGGGACTTGGGGATGGTGGCCCCAGGTGAGGCCCCACTGGCCGGCTCTGGCTCATGGTTCACTCTGATCTCAGGGGTAGCAGCAGGGGAGCCATCCGGAGGAGGTGAAGGGCTCTTGTTACCTTTTTCAGGGGCACTGTCACTGTAGAAGAACAGAGACTGGTATCAGCAGAACAAAGAACCAAGGCCTGGAGCAGTCTATGAGCACCTGGTGGCTGCCACGGGGAGTTACATGAGTGTATGTGTGAACCCCATGGGTCCACATGTAGAGCTGTGTGTGCATGTGTAAGTTCCATGGATCCACAAGAGGACATGTGTGTACCTGTATGCAGCCCAGGGATCCACATGTGACACTGTGTGCATGTGTGAGCACAACGGCCCTATATGTAAATCTGTGTGTCCATTCGTGAGCCCCACGGACCCACATGTGAAAAACACTGTGGGCTGAAGTGTGTGCCCTATGGATACAGGTATTCATATGTGTGTGTCCTATGGATCCATATGTGAAACCTAAGTGTGCATGTGAGCCCTTATGAGTCCCTTTATGGAACCGTGTGCATGGACAGAGTAGAAGTGTGAAGACCAGGACATGCTCCTGTGTGGTTCATAGGGGGCTTGCCTTGGAAGCAAGGGAGCACCAGCGAGAACCAGTCTCCTCCCCACCAGGGCCTCAGAGCACAAGCAAGCCAGACATCCTAGAGGCAAAGTGAGTCTCTTTCATCAGACAGCAGCCTGTTCACTCAGCCTACTCCCTAGCCTGCTCTGCAGACCTCTGAACCATCTCCCCGCCGTCCCTTCCCAACTGCACAGATTTGACCACAACCCAGGAACCCTCACGCCTGCTGCACTTTCCTTCTCATGGTCCCTAAGCTTAGTCCACACCCTGGAGAGGCATCCCCAGGCAAAGCTGCCACGGATGGACTGGTGGGTCCACTGCAGAGAGGTGACAGTTGAAAGAGTGTCAAGTCCTGAGCAGCAGAGTCTACTTGGGAACACGCGGGGTCAGGGACGTGCACCGCACCTGCACCCACTGGATTTGCAGGGGCAAGGGACCCGCTGATGCGTGCGAACGGCAGCAGTCAACAGCTGTCATAGGCCTACTTAATTTAAGTAAATTAACATTCTCAGCTCAGCTTCCAGGATCGCAATGCACACATTTCAGCTGCTCAAGAGCTATATGAAGTAATCAGCTATGGTGTCGGCATGTGAAGCCCTACAACATTCTAGAAGGACCATTAGAACTGGTACCCCATATGCCTGGTCTAGGGCAGTCTTGTTTTATGGGGGTATAATTTTCTCCCTAAAGACTACATAGCAATGTAAAACACAGTGTATGTGGCGAATGTTGTAAGCAGTGTGGCTCCTTGTCTGTGCTCAGCATTCGTTCCACCCATGAGCTGGCGGTCAGCAGCAGCCCAGGGCTGACTTTAGGGCGTGCAAAGAACAAGGCTACACTCACGCTCAAACCACATTCCAGTACCTTCTGCCTCCCTAGTATCCCAAGTCCTCCATGACCTCCTGACACATGTCCCCAAGCAACAGGACACACGGGCAGGTTAGGGGTTAGTGGGCCCTTCAACAGGGCACAGTCACAAGGCGCATGCGCAGTCAGGGCGGGGCCCCAGAGGCCCTTGGCACTGCACTCAAGGCGGTACCTGTTCTTCTTTCTGCGCAGCCGTGAGAACAGTTTAGTTTTCTTTCTGTGGGAATGGTGCAGTGTGGATGCTTCATTTGGAGGAGAAGTCAGGAGAACTAGACCTTTGTCCACCACCTTCTCCTTCCTTCCTGTTTAGGGGCCTCTAACAAATGGCCACTACCTGTCCTTAGTCTGCCCTTCAGCATGTCTCTGACCTTCCCACACTAACTTCAGCCTGCCCCTGTTCTCTACCTGTTCTCAGCCTTCCTCCCTCTGCTCCTCCCCCCGGATTTTCCACCTACCCCCAGCCTACCCTGATGTCTCCTGCCTTTACCTCTAGGCCTTCTAGTCTCCCCTTCGAGGACCTGCCCTCAGTCTTCACCCCATGTCTCTGTCCTGTGTCCTTGCTTGCCAACTATAGTTGCGACAGATCTTGGAAGGCTACAGGAGGCCAGGGTGGGGCACAAATAGGCAACCTTAGTGAGGAGTATGGCCAAGAACCTGCTCATCCAGCCTGGGCCCCGACAATCTTTCCAACTGGGCCAGGTCCCTCTAAAGTGACCACAGATTAGCCTCATTCCACCTTCCCCTCCCCCATGCTCCCCAGAACACCTCCTGTCTGTCCATTCCACATTTCCTTTTCAGAGGAGAGAAAGGAATAAGACTGTTCATTGAAGCCCTCCAAAGTTCTGGGCAGCAGAGACTTTACAGCGCAATAGAGTGATGCTTACAGTGTTGTCTACATGTGTGCAGTGTGCACACACTCAAACTTACACAAACAAGCATGATCAATACCACATACCCCAACTCTTTCCCTCTCCCTCTCCCTCTCCCTCTCCCTCTCCCCCACCTCTCTCTCTACACACACACACACACACACACACACACACACACACACTGTGGGGGGCAGGGGGAGAGGGAGGGAGAGAGGGTGAAGGGATGCAATCCCAGACTCCAGATTGTTTCTATTCCTTCGCCTCATGATCTCCCTCAGGTGACAGCATCTCCTGGCAGTTGCCCAGGAAAGGCAACAAAGGACAAAGTACCAAGGTACTGCCACCATTCTTGGACCTTACCTTGAGCAAGAGGCACGAAAGCCTGAATGCCAGGAACCACAGCCTTGTGTCAACAATGGTGCCTGTTTCCATCTTGCCCTCTACTCTACGAAGGCTCAGGGAGCTGCAGGCTCCCTGGCTACATTCCTTTCTCCACAGAACAAGACTACAGGAGCTGTTTCCCTGATGCCAGGAGGCAGAGCCTGGAAGATTTCCAGAGGCCCAGGGCCAACCCACAAAGACCAAGAAGGACAAGGATCTCCAGAAGAAGCTGCCTCTGGTGCTGACCGTCAAGTCACAGGCCCACTGACCTCACCCTCCCTGCCTTAACCCACCTGGGCTGGGCCTTGACTGTGAAGGTGTTGCTCCCGTGTTGCTTCTCTAGGCTGACCAGGACATCATTGAGGTTCTGATTGAGCTGCAGGAGTAAGAGTGAAGAGAAGCAGGCTTGGGCACACACACTTTCTACAGAAATAGCTCCTCACTCCTTCCCCTGCCTCTCCCAGGAACGACTTCCCCTGATTCCACCAATGCAAGATGATACCAACACAATGAACCCCAGAAAACCAACGGATGGCATAGAAACCAGGGGACGTGAGCTGTGTTGTTCACAGCTGTCTCTGGGGGCCATCTTTCCTCTCTTGCTATTTAAAGGGATATCCTACACAAGAGTCTACTGTTTGGGGCGAAGTAGAATATTTGTCTAACATATGCAAAGCCTTTGACTGAACCAAAGGCTTTACACGTTAGGCAAGTACTTCACTACTGGACCACGGCCCAGCTCTTTTTGGTTATCTTAGTTTGAGACAATATCTCAGTAAGCTGCCCTGGCCTCAGCTCACAGCTCTTTACCTTAGTCTTCCTGCTTGCTGGATTTCAAACATAAGGCATGTCAACATTTTATTTCTTAAACCTCATTTTTCAAGATTGCAGGACTTAATGTTAATCCTGGTTATTAAGGTCATTTTGCTAAGAAGCCTCCAAACCTAACTACAACTTCCAGAAATCCCTCCAAAAGCACAAGGTAGCAGAAGAAAGAGGTTGCCCCATGCAGACTGTGGGGCTCATTACTGAAAACGTTTCTCTTTTTACTCTGGCCACTAGGAAGTACAGAGATGAATTTTTCTCCTACTTATACGTAATTCTGCCTTTGGTGCCTTGAACTAACTTTGCATAAAGGTTTCCTTCCCTAAAATACCTGTTAGACTTTTTTGATTTACATATTTCTTATTGGGGAACAATTCTGAAAAGTTAAGTCTCTCCTTGTGCCATTATTTAAGTTCCAAGAACTAAGCCCGAATCCCTAACCAGGCTTGTGGGACAAGCACATTTCCCCATCTCACCATCTTGCCTGTTGTATGGTTTGCCTCAAATCTTTAAGAAGGAAGAGGAAAAACAGGAAGAAAAGAGAAGCCTTAAATGGGAGGCTTGTGGTCAGGAAAAGGCCTCAAACCAGCTCTTTCTCTTTAGCCCCAGAACCTGGAATCATCATTTACTTCATTCCTCTGGGTCCAAGGGACAAAGTCAGAACAGCCACCATATGGAGTGGGAGAGCTGTCACACCAGGTGTCTCCAACCGCCATGTAACACAGCTTCCATTCTAATACAACATAAAAGTGTGAGCTTATCACGCCTCTTATGCCAGACACTGGAAGAGAAACATGCCATTTCCCTACCTTAAGGAATACAGGAGACTGTTTTTTAATTACAAAAATTCTGGTAACTTATTTTTTTCCTACAGATTGAGGAAAATATCCATCACCATTTCTAGCCCTGAGCTCTCAGAGTTGTCTGAGAGGATGATCATACTCCAAGAAGGGGCTGATCACATTCCCAAAATGTGGTCCAGGGAAGAAGTACAAGACTGGGTATGGCAGGCTGGGGCTGGATTGGACCACCCACAGCTACCCCAGGTGGAAAAGTTGGCACGGTCACCAGAGTACCCAAGCTCCCCATCCCTGCCTCTGACTGACCCTCTGCACTGCCGGGTCACCCTGGCCTACCTTACTCATCTCTTTGTGGAAGTTTTCCTCCAGACCCGCGATGCTCTGGAACGTGTTGACATAGAAACCTACACGGCTGCCAGAGGGAGAGGAGGTGACATGGTGAGAACACATGTGACTGCATGCTGCATCCTCAGAGACACAGAGCCCTGAAGTGAGTAAGTAGACACAGGGCCAGGCTGACACAGGGCCAGGGTGAGCACCCCTCCTGACTTCACCTGTTCCACAGGGATGGCAGCTCCTCCTGCAGATCCACATTCATCTCCTCAAACACCTTCTGGGCTTTGATGAGCTCCTCTTCTGCCTGGGATGGAGAGGCAATGGGGTATGTTAGAATCTGTGTGGAAATCTGCCCTGGGGAAATGAGCCAGACCTGCCTCCATATCTGGTACCCTCTTCAGCCTGGATGTGGGCCCCAGGGCCTAAGCAGGATAGAAGCTAGCCTGGATGTGGATACCCACCCAGAACTTCCCATTGGAGCCCTAGAGGATACTCTGGGAATAGTGTGTGTTGAGCTGCCATTATAAAAAGAGGGTTTGTTGAGATGGCCAGTAAGAAGGTTGAGGACAAGGGTTGGGGAGATGGTTCGGTTGATAAAGTGCTTTGAGGAGAAACAGGAGAGCCTGAGTTTGATCCCCCAGCAACCACATAGGAGGCCAGATGTGGTGGAACACCCTAGAAATCCCAGTTTTGAAGAGGTGCACACAGAGCGATCCCCAGAGCTCACTGGCTAGCCAGCCAAACTAAACCAATGTTCCTCAGGTCCCAAGGAGAGAACTTGTCTCAAAATACTAATTCGGACAATTTCTTGGGGACAATACAAGAGCTTGACTCTTAGCCTAAACACACATAGACATACACAGTGGGGAAGGGGGTGGCTTGAAATCAAACAACCTACAGAGCTGGAGCACAGAGGCAGACCCCAGACTCAGGCAAACCCTTCCTAATTCCACATCAACCCCCGTGAGCCAAGTGTCAGCCCTGAGATTCAGCTAGCCTGCTACTCCTTTCTATGACCCTTCCTGAAGGTTCCTGATAGCTCTCTTGGGGCCAGAGCCTGCTTCACTTTGGTGTCTAGTTTCTCATTGCTTTCATGGCAAGTTTTCCCCACAAATCCCTCTCCTATGATCTGTGCCAACCAAGGACCAGTGGCAGTGGGTCAGCACCTCTACGATGAGGCAGAGAGGACCGAACTGACCTGAGGTGCTCATGCCCAGTGCTCATGGCTCTTCCTAAATTTCTTATTCTACCAAGAGGTGGCACTAGACCCCAGCACCAAGCAGAGGTATGAGTCACACAGACAGGGTTGATTAAGACTCAATGCTGACTCACGACCCAGGGACCTGGGTCATCAGGCTCAGGGAAGGTGTGAGGCCAGCAGCCTCCCATTCTAAGGCTGGTGCTGAGACCACAGCTAGCCAGAACAACACTCAGACAAAAGCACACCTTTTTTTTTCTTTCCAAGCCAAGCTGGCCACTTCACCTAGCTTCAGGCATACCAGGTCCAGCCCACTGAGCACCCAGCCCGAGTAGATCTCAAGCTAGAGCCTTGGATGGAATAAGAGAAGGGACCTCTGTGACATCTGACCACCATATACTTCAGGTAACACATGGCTCCTGAGAAGCCTTTTTAGAGTCTAATTTAAAGGGGAGGGGGGAAGGACAAAAAGCAATAACAAACAACAACCTTTAAAGGCGAGGCTGGGAAAATAGCTCAGGAAACTCAGTCCCTATGCATAAAGACTTCTGTTGGACCCCCAGAACCACACTTTAAACTTGGGGCCCGGGATCAGAGAGATGGCTTAGTAGTTAGGTTAAAGGGTGCTTCCTGTCCATCCAAAGGACTCAGATTCCGTTCTAGCACCTACATCAGGAAGGTCACAATCCCTTTTAATTCCAGCTTCGGGTGATCTGACTCCCTCTTCTAGCCCCTGAGGGTACCCTCCCAAAGGTGGCAGACACACACACAGACAGACAGACACACACACACACACACACACACAAAGCAGGGCCTGGTGGTATATGTTGTCCCAGCAAAGAGACACGTGAATCCCCTGTCCCCTCTAGCTAGTCAGCTCAGCCTATTTGGTGAGTGTTGGACCAGTGAGAAAGCCTGTCTCATGTGGGACAGAAATGCTCAGCAAGGAAAGGCACTTGCTACAGGAACCTGACAACCTGAATTCAATCCCTGAGGCCCATATAAAAGTAAAAGAAACAAATGGCTCCACAAAGTTTTACATTTAAACTTTAAATCTAAAATGGGTTCTGGGGCTCAAACAGAAGTCATTATGCAGGAGTAGTTACGTTAAAGGGTGCTTCCTGCCCATCCAGAGTTTCCTGAGCTGTTTCCCAGCCATGGTTTTTAATTTGATTCCAAACTGACCTTCACATATGCATGCCCCTACACACCAAATAGCAACAATAACAATAAAATAATAAAGGTAGATGGTACCTGTGCTGGATAGTTTTATGTCAGATTGACACACAGACTAGAGTTATCTAAAAGGAGGGAACCTCAGTTGAGAAAATCCCTCTATGAGATCAATGCCATTAGGCATTTTCTTAATTAGTGATTGATGGGGTGGTTTCATCTCTGGGCTGGTCTTCCTGGATTCTACAAGAAAGCAGGCTGAGCAAGCTATGAGGAGCAAGCCAGTGAGCAGCACCCCCCACGGGATCTGTGTCAGTTCCTGCCTTCAGGTTCCTGCCCTGTTTGAGCTCCTGTCCTGACTTTCTCCAATGATGAATAGCAGTATGGAAATGTAAAGCCAAATAAACCCTTTCTCCCCAATTTGCTGTTTCATCAAAGCAATAGAAACCCTAATTAAGACAGTGCCTGAGGTCTGAGGTTGTCCTCTGGCCAACACACACACACACACACACACACACACACACAAACATACATGCACACAAACACTTAAAGGTGAATTAGGAGGGTGACATAAAGACAAATGATTCCCTTTGGACAGGTCAGATCAAAGCTGGGAGTCTCAGCACAGATAGGACCAGGGACCCAGCAACACAGCATAGAACAAGGGCAGGTCCACTTTAAGTTCCCCGAAGTCAGGGCTTTCGTCCTCTGATTTGTGCCTCAGATCCCTGCCTTTTAGGAAGTGCTTGAAAGGCAAGTATGCACACCATACCACAAATACCACACCTTAGGAAGCACTCAGAAGTGACAGAGCAGAGAAGAGCCGTGGGTAAAACAGGAGACCTCCCAGCCCCCACACCCCTCTCCATTCTAAGACAAAGAGCTGACTGGAGAGTCTGGACCTGGTTTGCAGGCAAGCCCAAGAAGCTGGAGCAAGTCTGGAGAGCTCCCAGGACCAGCCAGGATCATAGGAAAGTCAGTCAGCTCTACAAACACAGACAGCAGAGGATACACTGCCCCTTAAAGTCAAGTCTACCCTCAGGGTGGATTAGGGTCCCAAGCGAAGCTCGCAGCTTACTACTGGTGCCTATTGGTGACAAGGGCAGCTGCAAAGTTGCTCTAGTTTTCCAGCTAGCCATTAGGAGGGGAAGGAGGGGGGAGGGGGGCTCCCATGGGAAAGGTGAAACAGCCCAGCATCTGAAAAGGTGACCCTGTGGCTCAGCCTCCCGCTGCTCCCCCACAGTGAAGTAAGAGCCCTTCCAAGCACGATTCCCCAACCCACGCCCATCTCAGGAGCCCTAAAGCATCAGGTAGACCCCGTCCCAGGGCCTAATGTGTCCCAGGGGCCCCTCCAACTACTCATTCAACGTACTCCACTTTGTAGGGGAAGAAACGCCAAGCGCAGACCTGGCTCTGGCTCTAGCCCCTCTCAGCCACGCAGGGTCCTCATAGTTCTCCTGCTCTACTTTCCAAGGCTGAGTGGGCATTTCCAGACCTGTAAGTCCACACCCACAGGCTCTGAATAACCAGTCACCTTGATCCTTAGCCCCAAGCTTTGGACTTCAAGAAGTTAGGCAGTGGCTCACATCAGAAATTGGGCAGCTAGCCTTGTCAGGTCGGAGCTTCTCCTTCCCCATCCTGCACATTTGATCTGTGAGGTTGCAGAGAATGAAATCAATCGGGAGGTGGCCCCGGAAAAATGGGGCACTCTCCAGGAGAAATCCGACCTCTTTCTGGGTCAAGTCTTGGCTACCTGCCTCATCCCCACTACAAAGGGTTTCCTGAGTCTCAAGCAAGGTTGGAAGAAGAAAAAAAAAAAATGTGGTCCATTTCTCTTGATCTATCTGCCTTATCTCTAGCAGACTCCAGCCAAACTTTAGCCAGTTCAACATTCAGGAAACCAAGAAGACTGTAGGATCCCCTGGCAGGGGAGTGATATGACCCACTGTTTAGTAGAAAGTCCTTTACAACCTTTGCCCTTCATGTAACCTCCAAAGGATGACCTTTCTGGCCCCAGGTCTCCCTGGCATCCCAGCCAGGATACAGAGGCTTCCTAGAGTCTCCTTCGGTGGCCAAGTTCTGAGTCCACTGTAGCAAGGACCACCTTCATGGAGCCCAGACCAGGTTAACTACCCCAGGGCTTGAATTAAGAGCCTCACTCAGCTACAGCCAGCTCTGGGATCCTGGGAGTAAGATTGCCATAGAGAGCAGATATGCTTCTTCAGAAGAACTTTGGAGCTTCTAAACAGTTTAAGGAATTGGGCAGGAGCCCCCAGAGGCAGTGGGATGCTCAAGGGTGTTCCTGGTACAGGATGCCAGTCATCTGAAAAGAGCACAGACCTGAGTAGGGGTCCAGGTCAGCCACAACTTCTAGATACTTGGTCAAATGTCTCTTCTAAAACAGGAATCCCAAGGAATCTAAAAGCCCCACCAAACCCCACCCCGTGCCACACGCCTCCAGCTCAGACTCTGGCCCTGCCTGCCTCTAAAGCCCAGAAAGAAGATAAGCCCTCCCTTATCCCAGAGAAGCTTGTGGAGGCTGGGCAGAGAGACACCCAGGTAGAATAACTAACAGACCAGAAGGCGCCAGCACGTGCAAGGTTAGAAGCCAGTATCACCTGATTTCGGAGCAGGTTAGTTTGAGCTACAAGATGAGCCTGTAGTTTGCCTTGGCACCACTGGGGGGCGGCTTTCTCAAGCAGCGAGACAGGCTGGGGAAGGGGAGGGAGGGAGGGAAGGAGAGGTCAAGGCAAAGGAAAATGGAGAGACAGGAGGGAGGTGGGAGAAAAAAAACAGAGACATAGATAATTAAACACCAAGCCCACAATCCCATGCAGAGATAGACAAACCAGCCCCCATCCGGCTGCCGGCGTGCGGCAGGTGCAGCTTCTCCCTCCCCAAACCCCAAGGCTGAGAAAATAAGGGGACTCCCACCCAAGTGGGTGTGGAGAGGGGGCTTCGAACTGCACAACAGCTATAAGAAAAGTAAGCAGGATAGAGGGGTTTAGCACACAGGGCTCCGCCACCCACCCATACACAACAGGACTATGTGACCCGCCCACAAGCTTGTTCCAGCAAGACAGAATCACATCGGATCCCATGACAGAATTCCACTCAGTGCATTGAGCAAGATAGTGCCACGCCAGGGAAACCCAAGCTGGGTCTATTCTCATTCTGGAAAACTGCCTCCAAGCAGGGCAAAAGGGCAGAAAAAGGCCAGTGACAGCCCCACCCTTCTGCACCCACTACAGGGTCTTCTTCTATCTGGCACTGGGCTCAACGCCATCCCCGTCCAAAGCTGGGAACCTTGGACTAACCTCTCTTGGATTCCCTGACCCTGTCCCAGCCCTTACCTTGGCAATTTTGGCTTCGTCCTTCTTCTTGGCGGTTTGAAGAGACTCATAGTGGTGCCGGGCACTGTCATAGTCCACCAGCTTCCGCCCCCGCTTGGCAATGCGTGACTAACGAGCAGAGAGGGGAGGGATCAGTGGGGCCTGATGCCAGGATCCCCAGGCTGGGCCCAGAGAAAGCAGGCTAGAGAAACACAGCAGGCCTGAAGTAGCATATCTGGGTACAGAATCAAATCTGGCAACAGAGCCTTCTGGAGGCAGGAAGCTCACTCTGCAGGGCACTGTGTCCTCTCTGTGTCACCCACTTTCCTGGCAGCAGGGATTCACCTGTCAAAACCCCTAGCGAGGCCCCAAATCTCCTGAGACACTCTTATCAGTGACTATATATATCTACACTTCCTATAAAGTAGAGAGTCTTCCTAAACATCCTAGGTTCCTTAGACTCGTGAACATCCATGGACACAGCACCTAGGGACCCAGAGGCATTAGTGGAAATCTTAGTATACAAGGCTCCAAACATATATTCAGTTCCAGCAGAAGCAGCCAGATTTCTGAACATTGGATAATATAAACATACCCGCACAGTTAACAGGCAACACACACCCTACCAAACACACAGCACAAATACAGGGACCTTTGGATTGCATGTGCTTGGGTCTTACACACATCCTCACACCTAAGCCCCTGCTTGACTTTATATCAGTAGTAACAATTACTGGAAAAGAGATACTCTCACTTGCCACACTGCCCAAAAGCTGTGCAGGGGCTCCAGGGATGCAGCTTTGTAAGTTGTCACTCATGCTAGGGTAGGCGTAACCCCAAAAATCTTCAACTAGACTTGGTTAAAATTATCTCTTTGGCATATCATCAGTGCCATATAGGAGATAGGGCCAGCTAGTGACTGGTCACAGATAGACCAGTCTTGAAGAAACAAACTGCCCGGCTAAGCAGATACCTGACCATAGGGCAGTCACCTCCCACCTGAGCCAGCCCTACATCATAGGTTTCTCCTAGACTCCAGCTCCTTCCACAAGCTCCAAGCCCAAGCAAGACAATAGGCCCATAGGTCTCTTACCTTGATATCAGGGAACTGGCCCAGGTAGGTGTCCATGGTCAGCAAAGCCTGGTCCACCAGCTTCTGGTGGTAGTCCATCCATAGTAGGTCATTGTTCTGAAACACAGGAATGGGAGTGCTTTGTAGAGCTAAGCCACATAGTCCACGGCTCTCATCCCAGTGCCAATCACCTCAAAGCTCTATGGACTCTCAGTGCCTTGGTTTCCTGAGGTTGCAGTGTCCCTGGGATGACAGCAAGGTTTGAATACAGTAAAGACTATCAGGGTCAGTAAGGGAGGCTGTATGACTAACACACGGGGGCAGCCATATCCCCTTTCTCAAAAGCCAGTGTGACAAGTACCAGAAGCATAGCCTGCAGAAGAGGAAGGCAACTTGGCCAGGTCTACATTGAGTATGAGTGCCCGAGAATCAGCGTAGCTTGCATCAGAAGATGAGACGTTGCGGGGACAGGAGCTGAAGCCAAAAGGGCCCTGGGGGAAGAATCACAGCCACCCTCCCAGGCTCACCTCTGCAATCTTGTTTGCTTCATCCCTGCCAGGCCACTCAGGCTCATACACCTCCTGGAGACACTCACTCAGCTTCTTGGAGGCTTCGTGCATGGCTGTGGGATAGGGAGAAGGTACATGGGTTCCATATGCCACCCCTCATCTAGTTGTTACCACTGCAGATGTGGTCCAGCTGACTCATAGCTCCACCCACCTCAGCTCCATGACCCCAAGTCCTTACAGACAGATGTGCCCTACCTTTAACAGAAGCCAGGTAGGTCCGAAGATCCTTCTGCAGCCGGGTACCCTCTGTCTGCCAGAAAAGCCAAGAACAAGGTCAGGTCCTGGGGACACTGGTCACCAACCCTCACCTTCTTACTACCAATCACATGACAAACAAGGCTTCCCTCTTGCCAACAGCCACCAACCTGTGTTCTCCCTAGAAGCTAGAACCTCAGAGAATAGCAGCTGTGGCCTTCTTGCCATTGTTCCTGTCATTGTCACTCCCTTCATTGGTAGCCCCACAGCCCCACGTGTCAGCCACCACTCGGTAGTGTAAGAATGCTAGAAGACAAGACCCCTGCACAGTGATGTCACACTGTATGTATGTGCATATGTACGTATGTACGTATGTATGTTTGTATGTATGTATGTATGTATGTATGCATGTTTGTATGTATGTTTGTATGTATGTATTTACATATGTACATATGTATGTATGTATGTTTGTGTGTATGTATGTATGTATGTATGTATGTTTGTATATATGTATGTATGTGATACCACACACACCGAGTACACAAACGCAGCAGTTTGGGTCTCAGATGACAGTGAACATGTGACAAATGAGCGCAGAAACATGGCCAGGTGGATTCAAGAACCATCAGGCACCTTGTTCTACAACTTTAGGTAGCACTCAGGAACAGAGACTCCCACAGTGCCAAAGCAAGGACAGAGAGCTCCTGTGAGTCTTCACGGGCACTATGGTGCTGATGGATAGAGGATGGCAGACTCCAAGAAGAAGAAAAGCCCAGAGTTAGCAGAGAACAGAAGTATAGAGATACTGCCAAGAACGCCAAGGGCCTCCAGCCCAGGTGAGAAAGATGGTAGAGAAGGCTGTAGAGAAGGAGTTAGCCAACTAGAAGCTCCCCAAGGCTCCAGGGTAGCAGAACCCCAGAGCCAGCAGAGAGGATGGAACATGGGCTAGACCTTATGTCCCTATGATAGAAGAGTATTGTGGATAGCCCTGGTCTTGTATTTTGATGTTAATTCCACTTTCCTGGGAGGGGATGCAGAGGAGAGAATCAGTACACAGGTGACTTCTATTGAACCTTCTGCCCACCTTAATTTGTAAGATAAAGGCTAGAGCCAGTGATTGGGCAGAGAAGGGGAGAAATAAAGGTTGGTGGGAAGAGGGAAGAGAAGCTGGGGGAGGAAGACGATGGAGGAGGACAACAGAGAAGGGAGAAGCAGGAGGTGGAAGGACAAGCGCGTGGCTTGGGAAACCTGCAAGTTATAAAGGGTCTCGTAGCTGGGGAATAGAGTAGTGATGAATCTATCCAATCTAGGCGTGCAGCTTATATTCATAATTATTGAGCTGTGTTTTCTTTGACCGGTTTTATTTGGGTTGGAGATTTACAGCAACAGAAATGGATCAGGAATGCTGAGACCAGGGTCCCAGGAGAGTTACAACAGGAGAGAGTCCTCAGTCTACCCAAAGTGCTAGGCGGAAGGGAAAGAACAAACAAGTTGGAAGGTCAGTAGTATATCCTGAGCCTGGAGAATACAAAACAAATAATGCCCTGCCTGGCATACCACAGTGCCTGGGAACAGCTCAGATGAGACACTGGCCCCAGAGCTCTGAAGTCAAGCCTCAGGAGATGGGTTTCAGACTGGAGATGAGGCAGGTTGTGACTCAGGAAGAAACCGTCTTAGTCCCTCCCACTCTGCAGGACAGGGATAGAGACATGCCCATGACAGAGGCACAGGAGACCTAGAGGGTACAGCACCCTGGCCTGAAGATGATCTCTGCCTATACTGGTCCACCTCCAGGAAGGGCATTCAAGGACAGGCCATCTTCCTGGCTCAACCCAGCATGTTCGAACCTCTATTACCTATTCCTCTTCCTCTGCTGGGACCTGCACTTCTCCCTGGTGCCCACAGCCCTGTGTACCATCTTCTCCCCATCACTATCTCCACTTGATAAGGATGCTGTGAGGTCAGCAATGTACTGAGCATCATACAAAGCCTGGGAGATTCAGAGAGCACCTCCAAGGGGAAGGAGGGCTCAGGCTAGCTGGGTAACTGTTAACAATGTGTCCTAAAAAAGTTCCTGAACTGTACAGATCTATAAGCTCCCTCCCCAAGGTTATATAAACAGTAACAATCGCTGGGGGGGAGGGGACTTTCCAGCCAGCCACACTGCCTGCAAGGCAGGAAACCCTAGGGGGTGCAGCCTTGGTGAGTCATTACTCACGCTGGGTGGGCTTCTCAGTACACAGCTGCCTTTGAGTCACCCAAGCTCCAACAAACTCACTGGCTCACTACGCTAGACTTGGGTGGAATCTTTTTATTGTTTTGCCTTCTGTACTTTGCTTCACAGCTGAGGACACCAGCAGCAGTGGTTTAAGAAAAACACACAAAATAAACCAGAGAGGGTGAAAGGATCAAAATCTCTCTCTAAAACTCTCTCAGTCCCCCTAGAGGATAGCTGTACTTTGAGAAACATTAGAGGCCCGTCCTGGAACCCTGTCAGACACCCACACCCACGGATGCACAATCCCTTTATAAGAAATGCCAAAGAATACATACAGACACCACATGCATCCTCCTGTGTATTTGTATGCCATCCATCTCTACATTACTCATATTGCAATATGAGTGCAATATGTGCATATATGAATAGCACACTATATTGCTTTTGTTTGTATAATCTTGTTTGTTGTTGCTGCTGCTGCTGTTTCTAGAAATATCTTCACTCTGCAATTAGTTAAACCCACAGATCAGCATCGTGCAGAAAAGGGAGGCTGGCCACCTGGCATGTAGCCCTGGTCAGATGTAAGACTGAACACTCAAGTTCAAGGCTCACGGGGAACAAATTAAATGAGGAAACAGAAGCCCGAACTAGAAGTGTTCCGAGGCAGGACACAGAGTCTTGAGGCGCTGCACAGTTAGAATCCCAGTACTCCAAAGCATCCCTTCTTTAACACCTTAAATCCTTCACTGCTAGAGATGAGGATTCAAGTGGGCTCCTGAGGTAATGCTATTCAGTCACCCAATGCCATAGAACCTTCCAGACCCAGCTTGTCTTTCTGTTAAGCATCCCTCATCCCAGCCATACCTTCAGCCCCCCTTCCTATCTCTTCTAACACATGTGCCTACCCTGTACCCAAAGCAAGAGGCTCCCCTTGGGCGGACTATGCATTTACTCAACTGATGCAAGCTGTAGGCTGTACCAAGGCTCCTTGTGCCTCCCAGACACTGAGCTGTGAGCAGATAAACACCACTCAGTTGAGCAAGGGACTATCCAGAATTGTCTTCCTTGGCATCTAAACAGGGCAGCTAGGCAATAAGTCTCTAGAAGTTCCTGAGTTCCAGTCACAGTGCCATTAGAGTCTGGCTAGGGAAGAATGTTCTAGGCCATTGTTCAGCTGGGCCCACGAGTGTTAGCAATGGTCTAACACAGAGCAAGAGGAGGCTGAGTCCAGCCAGCCTCCATACACCCCTGCTAGGCCTTCCTCTATTCAATCCCACCCTAAGCCTGCAGACTCAGACTCCCATCTCCTAGTGGTTTTAGGGGACAGTCAGCTTCAGCTCCAACTCCTGCTGCTAGGCATTCAGGGACAGGATTTTACTCTAAACAGCCAAGAGTAGGGCTTTCGCACCTCAGTGAGCCTTAGGACCCTCCAAGTAAGAGCTTAGCCAGCCTGGAAGCCCATGAGAGTTTCTAGAGGGCTGAACGGGGTGTGCAGTACTGGAGGCTGAAAGCATGTAGTCTCCCTAGGATCCATGTTAGGACACACATGAAACTATCATGGGTACCTTTGAATAAAGTAATGCCTACAAGATGTGTTAAGGAGCCAACCGCAAGCCAACTCTGATGTGAGCCAAGCAGAAGGCAGCTCCTTTATGTTAATGAGTCAGCTCTAAGCTGTGAGCCCGGATGGCCCACATTTCACACCCACTGGAACAATACAGAAAAACTAGAACTTGGGAGGCAGCCCCAGGATTGTACTGCTCTGCTCCTGAGATGGCAACTCAAGCCTCTGCACTGGTCCCCACTGGCAAGGGGACTTTGAGACTGGCCACCCATGTGATTCTGGCTCCAGTTTTCTATACCTTTGCTGCACCCATAGGCACTGACCATTGCTCTCAAAGACAATCTAGACCTTCCGTCAGCACCATCCTCCCAGTCTGCCACAGCTGAAGGACCCAATGCCATGGGTCAAACCTGCTCTCACTGGAGAGGAATCCCGGCAGAAGCCTACATTTTCTGCCCAACAGCTCAGCACTTGGTGAGGTGTCTGTTTAAATGAGGCGACCATAATCTCTGCATAGCATGTTGTTGTAAGGAATCTTTGTGCGAATAAACCGAGCATATTTGAAAGGCAAACCCAAATCTTAATTACCAAGTGCCTCACGACCTGCTCATTCCCGTCACTCGGGACAAGGCGGAAGTCAAGGGTGACTGTGACTACCTGTGACTGGCACCACCTGGGTCGGAAGAGAGCCATCCACCTGGGTCACCCTGAGAGTAAGAAACAGCAGATGACCTCTGCCTCCTCCAGAGGACACAGAAGGAGTAGGAGATCTACTGCCCTGAGGCTGAACACATTGTCAGCCCTACACTAACAGAGTTGTGTTCACTACACTGAAGGCTCCAGCCAGAGCCACAGGAGAAAGTGGGGTTTCCTATACTCTGCTACGATCCCATTTCTGTAGGCTGGCTGAGGACCAAGCTCACTACAGCTCCTGGATTCTCTCCCTCAAGAATAGAGACCAATCCGCATACTCTCTCTACACCCCACTCCCAGCCCCTTGCCAAGCCATCTCTCACACACACCAGGCTGGTCTAAACCTGTGTAACCTCCAAAGGACACCCCAAAACTCCAGTCTCAAAACTACCCCTCACTCAGAAGAGTTCTCTCTTCCTATCACTATCTGTTTGCTGGGAGTTCAATTCCCTGTTCTGGAACACAAGAACATAGAAATCCCAGCAGGTGCCTCCAGGCCCAGAGCCAGATCTATAAGCACCATGGGAAGAATAGGAAGTGTCACTCCTGCTGGCCCAGGCCACATGGACCTCAGCTCTTGTCTCTGTGCTTTCCTGCCCTCCCCCTACCAGCCCAACCTGCCTTAAAGAGACACTCCAAACTCACAACATCCACCTCAGGGCTGGGTGAACTTTGAGGAAGTGAAACGGCCCAGAGTCCAAATTTCAATCTCCCAGGTCCCTAAACTAGTCATGTGGCTTTAACTGCTCCTCACCACAGTGTTTCACCTGACAATAAAGAAAATACCAGAAGCTGAGGGTTTAGCTCGGTTGGTAGAGTGCTTGCTACCAAGCACAAAGCTCTGTGTTCCATCCCATGCACTACATAAACTGTGTGGTAAAGCAAACCTACAAGGCAGACAAGGCTACACATGGCTCACAGAGAGTACACAGGTAATGGCAGTCTCCAAAGGGGCCTCAAAGCTGCCCATAGCCTGAAGACAACAGAAAGAGGGGACATGCCCTGCCTCACAAGAGACAGACTCAGAGGCTGAGGCTTCTGACCTCTTGTTCAAGCTTACATTTGGCAGATGAAGAAGCTAAGGTAGAAGATGCCCCCTATCAGGGAACATACTCACCTCCCATTACTGGCCCGAGGGACAAGTAGCCATGGTGTCTCCCACTCCTGCCCTGGGGAACCCCTTGCGTTAGATATCTCTGGCAGCCCAGGGTGCCTTGTCCTTAAGCACCCTCCTGACATGCTTTCCCATTCTCTCCAGTGCTGCTCACCAACCCTCTCCCACCATGTTCTTTGGCCTTCCCAGCATGTGCCAGCTTTCTCCCAGTATGCTGTCACTCCCAGATCCTAGGTCCAAGCCAATGAGACCTTTCCCCTGGGTTCCAGACCAGCTACAGAGGCTTCAATGGGTACCTTCAATGCTATCCAAGGCCCATTATAGACTAGGAATACCATGAAGCTGAAGTCTTACAGCCTGGGCCTTCTCCACCCTATTTCTAGCAGAGCCCTAACCTCTCCTCCCATGCCCTGTCCCATTCTCTGTGGCCCCAGATCCTTGTGGGTCTGTCCTGAAGAAGCCATAGGCTATGGCCTAGCTGGCTCAGCCTGCCTCGTGCTCCCTTCACTTTCCTCAACACCTCAACCAGAGGATGGTGAAGATCATTTCCATTTGGGATGTTCAGGGTCTTCCCTTCAGAAAGTCCTTTCTTGTATCTGTTTCCTCCACACTGCCTACATAATTAAGCCTGGGATGTATCCTGGTAAGGATAGCCTGAGAGTGTTTCCTGGCATTTGAGCCAGACAAGTGTGATCTGAATCTACTTCCAAAGCTGGATGGCCTTGGATAGTTGACCCTACACCTCTGAGATTCACTGCTTGATCTATAAAAGGGTCCTCCACCACCTCACCAACCCACACTGTTCTCCCTTCTGAGCTTTCCTACTCCACAAATATGGTCCTCACCATCTCCTACCTGGCAAACGCTGTTCCACCTCCAGAAACACTCACCAGCTGCTTATTGAAATTCTGGACGCACTGTTCAAACTGCTCGTCCTTCGTCTCATCCGCCTTCCCCAGTTTCTGCAGGACCTGCCGCACAGAGAGAAGGAAGGATCATCAGTTGGAGAAGCCCAGTGGCTGGAACAAGAGTGCTCAGTCAGGAACGGTTGGAGCGCAAAGATCATGAGGACTGTCCCTTGTGCAATGGTCAGAATGAGTGCCTACACTTCCTGTGTTGGAAGGTTTATCCTAACAAGGCATTGTGGGCAGGTAAGACCCAATGGAAGGTAACCAGGCCAAGAGGGTTTTCTAGACATGGGTGGAAAATGGACGCCATTATCAAGGAAGTAGGCAAGTTATTATGAGTGACTTAGTTGTGCGGTGCACCTCAATACTGACATATTATTGGTTCCAGGACTCTGACCCAATACCAAATTCTACCAGTGCTCATTCCTTGTGTAAAATTGTATAGCACCCCATAGTGATGTACAAACCCTCCCTTATACATAGTAATTTAGATAAGCATTTCTCCAACTATCTGCCAAAGGCCCATATGTTAAAGACTTGGTCACAGACTTGGTGCCACTGGGATGAGGTAGGACATTGGAGAGAGTTAAGTCATTGAGGACACGCCCTTGAAGGAATTACTGGGACCCTATCCCCTTCTCTTTCTCTCTTTTGCTTCTTGTCTGCTTCAAAATGGGAAACTTTTCCAACCATGTGCACTTCCCAGTATGACATACTGGCTCACACTGGGCCCAAAAGCAATGAGTAAAACCGACTGAAGATTTTAACTTCTAAGCTTCTAACTTGGGCACCAAACACACCTTATCTATCCTCTTTTGCTCTAATTTGGGTTTGTGGGGTTTTGGTTTTGTTTTGTTTTTTGTTTTTTTTAAAGGCTGCCTTTTTTAAAATTGGAAAACAATTTCTTCATACAATATATTATAATCAGACTTTTCCCCTCTCCCATCTCCTCCCAGAACCTCCCACCTTCCTACCCACTGAGTTTCACATGTTCTTTCTGTGTCTTCAAAAACAAAACAAACAAATAAAACCAAGAAATACACATACATACATACAAATCAGTAATCTAAATATACAAGCAAAGACCAATAAGACAAAAAATAAAAAGTCCAAACAAAACAATATGGGACAAAAAGTATACAAAAGGACCACTGAGTTTGCTTTCTGTTGGCCTACTGCTGGGCATGGGGCCCACCCTGAAGTATAGTTAATATTCCCAGTGAGAATCCATTGGAGAAAACTAATTTTTCCTTTGCAAGTGGGTACCAATTGCAGAGAGCTTCTTGTTAGGAGTGGGAGCCCCTGGCCACCTCCCCTTCTCAGAACTGAGACCCCTTCTGGCTTAAACCTGTGCAAGACCTTTGCATGCTGCCACAGTACCGAAGGGTTTGTGTGTGAATCAGACTTGTGTCTGGAGAACACTGTTTTGGCAGTCACCCATCACCTCTAGCTCTTACAATCTTTCTGCCTCCTGTTCCCGAAAGATCCCTGAGTCCTGAGCCAGAGGTTGATGAAGACTTCCCATGTAGGACTGAGTGCTCCAGAATATCTCACTCTCTGCACATAGTTCAGCTATGTTAGTTCCCTTCTCTGATGATGGCTGAGCAAAGCAACTGGTCTATGACTATTACAGAATGTCATTAGGAGTCACTTTATTGCTACATTCTTTTAGTAAAACAGTAGTATTTGATTTTTCCTTAGGCCCATGGTTCATGAGAGAAATTTGTTGGTATTATTTTTTTTCATCGCATCTTCGGTTTAGGATCAGGATAATTGTGACCTCCTAAGAAGAATTAGGCAATGTTCCTTTCGTTTCTATGTTGTGGAATAATTTGAGGAGTACTGATATTAATTCTTCTTTGGAGGTCTGATAGGATTCTATGGTGCATCCATTCTTGCCCTGAGCTTCTTTTCCGTTGGGAAGATTTTAACTACAACTTCTCCTTTACTGGGGCTGATGAGTCTGTTTAAATTGCTTATCTGATCTTCATTTAACCTTGGTGGGTCATATATATATATCAAGGAATTTATTCATTTCCTTTAGGTTTTTCAGTTTGATAGGGTATTGATATTGAAAGATTGTCCTTATGAGTCTGGATTTCTTTGGTGTCTGTTGTTATGCTCCCTTTTCTTCTCTAATTTGTGAATCTGTTCTCTTCATCTTTCGTTAGTTTAGCTAAGCATTATCAATCTTACTGATGTTCTCAAAGAACCAACTCATTTCACTGACTCTTTGTATTGATTTTATTTATTTTTTTCTATTTTATTGATCTTTATTCATATGCACTTTGTGCTATAAACTTGCCTCTTAGAACTGCCTTCACTGTGTCCCATAGTTTTGGAGTATGTTGTGTTTTCATTTTCATTCAATTCTAAAATGTTTTTTGATTTCCTCCTTAATGGCTCGACTCATTTTTCATTTAGTAGACTTGTTCAGTGTCCATAAGTTGGTATGATTTCTGCTGTTTCTGTTGTTATTAATACTCAGCTTTAATCCATGGTGGTCAGATAGGATGCAGGGTGTCATTTCAATCTTCTTGCAGCTGTTGAGACTGCTTTGTGTCCAAAAATGTGGTCAGTTTTAGACAAAGTTCCATGAGGTGCAGAGAAGGGAATTTTTTGTGCTTGGGTGAAATATTCTGTAAATACGCTAAGTTCATTTAGTGCATAATGTCTGTTAGCTCCAGTATTTCTCTGTTCAGCTTTTTTCTGGTTGACCAGTCTAAGAGTGGGATACTGATGTCACTCGTTATCACTGTGTGATAGTCAATATTTGCTTTTAGTTGTAATAGTGTTTCTTTTTGTGAAATTGCATGCCCTTGTATTTGATGTATAAATGTTTAGGATTGCAATATCCTCTTGGTGGATGTTTTGCTTGATGAGTATGTAGTATCCTGCCCTATCTCTTCTGATTAGTTTTGGTTTAAAATCTGATTTGTAAAGATATTAAAATGTCTAAATCTATTTGCTTCATAGGTTCATTTGCTTGGAATCACTTTTTGCTTCCTTTTACCCTGAGATAATGGTAAGGTGTATTTGTCAGATGCAGCAGAAAGATGGAACTTGCTTTCTAATCCAATCTGTTAGTCTGTGTCTTAGTGGGGAATTTAGATGGTTGATATTCAGTTACTGTATTAGTCAGGGTTCTCTAGAGTCACAGAACTTATGAAATAAGTCTACATATAAAAGGAATTTATTGGAATGACTTACAGGCTGAAGTCCAGCTAACCCAACAATGACCAACTGTGAATGGAAAGTCCAAGAGTCTAGTCGTTACTGAGTCCCATGAGGCTGAGTGGTTCAGCTGGCCTTCTGTATAAGCTGGAGTCCTGAAGAAACCAGCTCCAACAGTTGTCCTGGCAAGTAAGTACAAGCAGAGGAAGAAGAACAAACCCTTCCTTGTTCCATTGTCCTTATGTAGACCTCCAGCAGAAGATATGGGCCAGACGCAGACTAACAGATTGGATTAGAAAGCCAGATCCATCTTTCTACTACATCCAAGAAATATACCTCACCATTATCTCGGGGTAAAAGGATGGAAAAACGTTATTAAAGGTGTGCATTAAGATCTAGCTCGCATGTGTGCCCTCCATTTCTGGATTGTACTTCATTCAAGTTGACAACCAAGAAAAGCCATCACAGTTACCAATGAACAGTGTTTACTGATTATGTTAGTTTGTTGTTATGGTGTGAATTTTTCTCCCTCTTTTAATTGACTGTTCTGGTACTATTTAGTCCCTGTGTCTCCTTGGGTATAGCTAGCCTCTTCAGACTGAAGTTTTCCTTCTAGTGCCTTCTGTAGAACTGAATTGGTAGATAGAAATTGTTTAAATAGGTTTTATCATGCAATGTTTTTCTTTCTCCATCAATTATGGTCAATAGTTTTGCTGGTATAAAAGTCTGGGTTAGCATTTGTGGTCTCTCAGACTTTATAGAACATTCAGCCTGGTCATTCTAGCTTTCAGTTTCCATTGAGAAGTCAAGTGTTATTCTAATGGTCCTTCCTTTATATGTTATTTCATCTTCTTCATTTGCAGCTTTTAATATCCTTTCTGCATTCTGTATGTTTAGTGTTTTGATTATTATCTGTTGTAGGAAATTTTTTTTCTGGTCCTATCTATTTGGTGTTCTGTATGCTTCTTGGGTTTTGATAAGTACTTCCTTCTTTAGGTTGGGGGAATTTTCTTCTATAATTTTGTTGAAAATATTTTTCTGTGCCTCTGACCTGAGTTTCTTCTTGTTCCTCTATCCTTACTACACTTACATTTGATCTTTCCATAATGACCCAGATTTTCTGGATGTTTTGTTCCTGGGTGGTGGTTCTTGTTTTTGCTTTTTCTTTTGTTCTGTTTTGTTTTGTTTGACACTCAACATTTTTTTTTTTGACTCAAGTATCCACTTTTTCTACCTTGTCTTCAATTCCTGAGATTGTATTTTCCCTCTCTTGTATTCTGTTGATGAGGCTTACCTCTGAGTTTTTTTGTTTGACATTCTAAATTCATTTCCTGTTTTGTTTCCATCTTGGTTTTCTTTAGTGATTCTATTTCTACTTTCATGTCTTTAACTGTTTTCATTAGTTCATTCAACTATTTCTTTGTGTTCAAGAGATTTATTCATAGCCTCTTTAATATACTTGAATAGGTATTGATATATTTAGTCTTATCTTTGTTGGGTAGGTGTTTTATTCTTTGGTTTCTATTGCCTTCTCTAGATCCCAGGTAAACGTGGCTTCAGGGACCCTGATAGTGGGTAACACAAAGGAATGGGGTGAGCTAGGAGGAAAGGCTGGCAGGGGCTATGTGAAAGACCTAGGGAGTCCAATAGGTGAGTCCTCAGGGAGTAGAGACTTGGTGGGAGGAAGGACTCCAGCAAGTAGGCTATAGTAGAACAAAAAATAAGCCTAGTGAGACAGGGATGAAAGGGGGATTCTGGGTCTGTACCAAGAGATGGCATCTCTAGTTGGGATGGGAAGAGGGGCTCCTGCAAGCAGGCTGCTACAGGAAGGACTCAAAGTAAGTCTGGTCAGAACACAATGGAAGACCAGAAGGATAGTGAAAATCACC